GGCTCCCTCCACACCGCCAGTACGACCACGCCGTCACACTGGTCGAGGACGCGGTCCCCGCGAACACGTGCCCATACCATTACTCGCCGCTCCAGAAGGACAAGATCGAGCGCCAGGTCAAGGAAATGCTAGACGCCGATGTGATCACGCACAGTGTGAGCCCGTACGCCGCGCCGGTCCTGCTGGTCAAGAAGAAGGACGGCACCTGGCGGTTCTGCATCGACTATCGCCGCCTCAACGACGCGACCATCAAAAACAAGTTTCCTCTGCCCATCATCGACGAGCTGCTCGACGAATTGGCCGGTGCTGCGGTCTTCTCCAAGCTAGACTTGCGCGCTGGCTACCATCAGATCAGGATGCGCGAGGAGGACGAGTACAATACGGGGTTCAAGACGCACCACGGACACTTCCAGTTCAGGGTCATGTCGTTCGGCCTCACGAACGCGCCGGCCACGTTCCAGTGCCTGATGAACTCCATCTTTGGTAAGTATGTGCGCAAGTTTGTGATCATCTTTCTGGATGACATTCTCGTCTTCAGTGAGACCATGGAGGAGCACCTGGAGCACCTGCGCATCGTCTTTGAGCTCCTTCGTGCACACCAGCTCTATGTCAAGGAGCCCAAGTGCACTTTCGCCGCTGATCACATCGACTACCTCGGCCACGTGATCTCCAAGGAGGGTGTGGCCACAGATAAGGAGAAAACGAGCGCGATGGAACAGTGGCTGACACCGACGAACGCCACCGAGCTGCGCGGTTTTCTGGGCCTCACCGGCTACTGCAGAAAATTCGTGTCGCACTACGGCATCATCGCCAAGCCACTAACACAGCTGCTCACCAAGAAAGGCTTCGCCTGGACGGAGCAAGCTCAAGCGGCCTTCGATCGGCTCAAGACGGCGATGGTCACCATGCCAGTGCTCGCGCTCCCGAACTTCGACAAGTGTTCTCGACCGAGACGGGCACGTGCGACACGGGAGTAGGCGTGGTGCTGGTCCAGGGAGGCCACCCGGTCGCCTACTTCAGCAAGGCCCTGGGAGTGCACAACCAGCAACTATCGATGTACGAGAAGGAGTTTCTGGCCGTGATGATGGCGATCGACAAATGGCGGCCGTACCTGCAGCGTGGCCCCTTCGACATCCTCACGGACCACAAGTCCCTCTGCAACCTGGGCGAACAGCACCTGGAGACCGAGCTGCAACGCAAGGCCATGGCGAAATTGGTGGGACTGCAATTCAGGTTTCAGTACAAGCGGGGACTGGACAACGGAGCGGCCGATGCCTTGTCGCGCGTCGGCAAGCAGCTCGACCTGGCCGTGCTTTCAACGTGCCAGCTGGCCTGGATACAGGAAGTGCTCATCTCCTACTCCACGGACCCGGATGCACAAGATCGCCTTCAGAAGCTCTCCCTGGCCAGCCCGGACGACGACGGCTACGAGCTGCATCGCGGTGTCATTCGATCGGTGCCAACGCCGCGCTCCGCACTAAGCTCATCGCCGCGCTCCACAACAGCGCGGTGGGCGGCCACTCCGGTGCCACGGCGACGTACCAGCGCGTGCGCAAGCATTTCGAGTGGCGCGGTCTCAAGCGCGACGTCGAGGAATTTGTGCGGCAGTGCGCAATCTGCCAGCAGGCGAAGCACGAGCACTGCAAGCCGACAGGACTCCTGGCACCTCTTCTGGTGCTGACCGCGCTGTGGGAGGATCTCACGATGGATTTCATGGACGGGTTGCACGTGTGAGACGGCGCGGACACAATCATGGTGGTGGTGGACCGGTTCACCAAGTTCGCCCATTTCGTTCCCCTGCGCCACCCGTTCCATGCACCGCAAGTGGCGAAGGCATTCTGGGACAATGTAGTGAAGCTCCACGGCATCCCTGCTTCGATCGTCTCCGACCGTGACAAGGTGTTCACCAGTAACCTATGGAAGCAACTGTTCGCCGGCGTGGGCACCAAATTTCTCTACTCCACCGCGTACCATCCGCAGACGGACGGCCAGAGCGAGCGCGTGAACCAGTGCATGGAGATGTATCTCCGGTGCATGGTGCACGACGCGCCGCGTCAGTGGGTCGTTGACTGCCCATGGCTGAGTTATGGTACAACTCTATGTTCCACGCCTTGCTCAACTGCACTCCCTTCAAGGCGCTCTACGGGAGGGAGGCCAACCTAGGGGCAATGCCGGCCTGGCCAGCGGACGAGCACGCGGCGAAGACATGGACTGGGCGGCGCACACAGAGCACATCCGCGCCCAGCTGGAGCACGCTCAGCGCTGTTTCAAGAAGCAGGCCGATCGCAACCGCAAGGAGCACCAGTTCCACGTCGACGAGCAAGTGCTGTTGAAGCTGCAGCCCTACGTGCAGCGCTCGGTCATCAGCCGGCCTTGCGCCAAGCTCGCCTTCAAATTCTTCAGCCCGTACACTGTCCTTGAGAAGATCGGTCTCATGGCGTACAAGCTGGACCTGCTGCCCGTGAGTCAGGTGCACCCTGTCTTCCACATATCCCAGCTCAAGCCATCCACGCCGGACTACACGCCGGTGTACGCAGAGCTGCCGCGCGTGCTGGACCTCTTCGTGTCGTCGGCAGCACCAACGCAGCTGCTGGAACGACGCATGATGAAGCGCGGGAATGCTGCCATCATGCAGGTCAAGGTGCGATGGGGCGAGGGCTCGCCGGCCGCCACCACATGGGAAGATTATGAGGTTCTCCGGCAGCGTTTTCCTTCAACAGCCATTTGGAAGGACTCGGGGGCAAGTTCCCAGAAAGAAGCTCAGTCTTAAGGGGGAGAGAATGTCACACACCTGGCCACTTGGCATGTGTGACTTGGCAACCCTGCGGGAGGGACCCACCGGCGTGTGCGTGTGTGAGTCGCGTGAGCTTATAAGCTGGCCGCCTGTGGCTGTTGTGGTGTGTGTGATGTAACCAGCTCAACCTCTCACCCAATCCTTCCTCTGGAAGTAAGGTTCTTATTCCTCTCCAAGTCTCTCTCTCACGCTGCCCTCACCCCTCTCGATCCCCTTCTCCCCTCGTTCGTTACAGTTATCTGTATCAGGCCCATGAGGAAAGATGATTCTAGGCAAATTTTGATGCAACAGACCTGTACATGCGGACATTAGATGTGGGCAAGTAAATCAGCGATTTGCTAAATTGGTGGAACTTCCGTTTCCCTCGCGTAGGTCCGCGCATGACGATATTAGCGATCGGCCTGGCCACATATCACGCACGACAACTCAAGTCCCCAAGTACGAGCGCGACCCTGCCGCCGACACAGCCTCCTCCCGCAGAGCCCTCCCTCGATGCTTCCTCCTCCAATGGCGGATCGAGTACTTTCATGTTCATCACCATAGAAAGGAGTAACAATACCACCGGCCCTGGCAGGCAGTTTTGAACTACAGATTGATCAGGTTAGCATCTTCCTGATGCATCATCCAACCGAGCTAGCTAGATTGATATATGATTTGTTTGTGGCAGAATTAGGAGATCTAGTGAATTAGCGGAGACGAGTAGGATGTCCTTCTGACTAATTTTTGTATGGCAATCCTTCTGACTAATTAATCTGGTTATGTTGGGTATGGATGCATGATAGACGAGGGCAGTGGATGTCTAGACTCCATGGAATAATGATGATAGCCAAGCTAAAATTAATTGGAGGATTCATGGTCGATTCAATATAATTAGGTGGCAAAATTTATTTTTAGTGTTGCAAATTATAAACTTATCTCACCTGCGCGGAGATCTAGTGAATTAGCGGAGACGAGTAAGATGTCCTTCTGACTAATTTTTGTATGGCAATCCTTCTGACTAATTAATTTGGTTGTGTTGGGTATGGATGAAAGACGAGGGCAGTGGATGTCTAGACTCCATGGAATAATGATGATAGCCAAGCTAAAATTAATTGGAGGATATATTCATGGTCGATTCAATATAATTAGGTGGCAAAATTTATTTTTAGTGTTGCAAATTATAAAGTTATCTCACCTGCGCGGAGAAGTTCAATTTACTTTTGTTTGCCAAAATATGATGAAATATACAATGGATGGCGTCGATGGCGGAGGACCTGCCAAGGCTCGCGTAGGTGGAGGTCGTCGTTTGGCGTCGATGGCGGAGGACTTGCCAAGGTTGACACCTTAATCTACTCTGAAAATGGACCAGTGGAAAATGGCGACGACGACACATGTGAGTGCGCCGGATCGGTTTGTGCCTCGGACCTCACAGATGGCTCGGTCGGGGTCTCCGGTTTTAGATGTTAGGCTTAGATGAGAGGTCTGGGTATATGGCCCAGCTTGCACCCCTTCATCATATGGATAGGAGTAGCGGTAGATGTTGCCAAGATGGTGATTTCAGACATATTGTTGTTCTACTTTGTAAGGTCCTCGAAAATAATTAATAAAATGGCCGTATGCATCTTCGAGATGCACAGGCCGGGGTCATCCTTCTTTTTTTCATAAAAAAAACATATGCATGCTTGTGCAATCGTACGTGCTCCTTATGTATCCACAAGGATTTTTTATTCCTCCCAAAAAGAACCCAAAATTTTCATCTAGCTAGATTAATCGTGAAAATAAAAAGTATAAGTCATTTACGAGCCTAATTAAGATATATATACTCACCCACACAGGGCCACAAAATACACGCACAAAAAACTAATTAAGCACGGGAGCAACACCTAACATGGCAGAATTTCTGACTTCTTACGATCTTCATCGGATCCATGAAGACCTCTTGTAGATGGAGCAATCGCTAGATGGGCGAGGAACCTCTCCGGTGACCTCACGATCGAGGGCCATCAACAAGAGTTTTTCTTTCCTCCCGGAAAACCAGAAGTTTCCGTCTGGATGGATGGATGGATCGATCGAAATAACAAGAAGGCATTTACGAACAAGCACGGGACCAATAATAAGTACTCGTAGAATTTCTGATAAATTTCCAGGTGGATAGTTGCGCTACAACGAAACTGGAAGAGAAGAAAATTAAACGACAGCTCAAAGATAAATCTCGGACGGCACAATCCTAGTTAATCGCTGCATCTTGCACGGCCGCGGAGATGGATGGATCCCCGCCGTCGCCAACGTGATTAACGTCTGATCCGATATCCTCTGCGCGAGGAACCGGTCCAGCGACCACAGGAGCGACGGGGACTTTCCCCCTGACAGCTCCCTTCTCCACCTCCAGACATATCTTGGCCCAGCGTTCGAGCGCCCTCGCCTTCTCCTCGGCCCCCCAAGCACCGCGAGCTTCTCCTTCCAAGCCGAGGGCGTCGGCGGCCAGAGTGGCAGCCTTCTCCAGCACCTCGGTGCTTTTCAGCGTGAACTCCATCGTGAACTCGGCAGGAATCTGGATAGATAGGAGGGAGAGAGGAAGAGCGAGGTAGGGGATTGGTCGATGGAGAGTGAGGGAGAATATGGGGGAGAAAGGATGGCGCTCCCAACGGCTCCTGTACGGACAGGCGTTGCGAGCGTCTCTGGCGATGGTGGCGTCGGTGGCGGTGTCTCGGCACAGGGCGGCGGTGCTCAGGCCCCGGCGGAGGACCCGGCGGCTGGCTGGGCGGCGGCTCGCGCCCCAGTCCCCAGGCGGACGGCTGCGCCCCCCCTGGGCGCCGCCGGGTGGTCGGGAAGCCGCTTTTGGGCGTTGGCGGAGGATGATTCGGACAGCGACGAGGAGGCGGAGTTAGGCGACGCGGTGGCGCTGGGGGCAGGTGGCCGTCCGGCTTGCTCCCTTGGCGACTTCGTGGCGCGGGCAGAGGAGCTCGGGGGCTCCCTCAAGGCCGGGCGCCGTCGTGCGTTTGCGCCCGGGGGCCGTGGCCCGCGGCGGGTCGTTGCGGCTGCGCCCAGAGCGGCTCGCTCGGTGTGGCGCCGTGAGGGTCGCGACAACCTTGCTGCGCCAGACGCGGGGCTGCTCCTGCAGCTCGCGGCAGACCAGCTGAGCCCGGCGCCGGCGTCCCCCATGGCGGCGCCGGCGGCGCGGATGACGCTGGGCGTGGTCAACCCTAGGGCTGGGGCGGACCAGCCAGCGGTCCAGTCGGGCCAGCCCACACGGGTGGTGGACGGCCCAAATGCGGTGGTGACGCGGGCTAGGGCCCAGTCCCCTGACGCGCGCGTGGAGCAGGGAAACGTTCCTGCCCCCAGGACCCAGCCCGACCCACAGGGGGCGATCCAGCCCAACCAGCCCAGCCCAGAGAGGGCATATAAATGGCTCTGGATCCCCCGCGGAACCCTAAATCCCTCGCTAGGTTTTCCAGCCACCGCTGCGGAGGTGCGGCGCTTCGGTCCTCTCGCCCGATTCCTCTCATCCACTCCACTCCCCTCCCCACTGCGGCGCACCTTTGCTGAAGTAGTGGCGATGGGCTCCAAGCAAGATCGCCGGGGGAAAAGCCTCCCATGGAGCAGCCGCGGGACCGCAACCGTGGTCGCGCCGCCGACGAGGGGGGCTGGGGACCACCGCCTGCGTGGTGGCTCAAGGAACAGGAAAGGAAGGCAAAGAAGAAGGCGGAGCACAAGCAGCGCGGCCTCGAGCTCAAGCGCAAGGGGATGCAACCAGCGCCGGGCGGCGACCGGGGCGGCGACTCCCACGCGAAGAAGAAATCCAAGCCTGCGGGGGCGGCGGCCTCCAAGCTGCCCCTCCCGCCCAGAGCTGAGGTGTCGGGCTCATCCAAGGGCACGGAGGCGGAGCCAATCCCGATCGAGGAGGCCGACGGACCTGAATGCTTCCGATGCGGGCGCACGGGCCATTTTCAGAACTTTTGCACCTTCAAGCCTCTGTGCGTGGTGTGCACCAAGGAGGGGCACACGTCTGCGCAGTGCCCGACCCCGGGCAAGCCTCTGCTCCTCCAAACCATGGGACACGCCATCTCCGGCGAGGGTTTCTTCTGCCTCCAGTACCCGGATGATTCGCGGGAGGAGCCGCAGATCCAGCTGGGGGCCAACGCGGCTGTGCTCTCCATGCCTTCTGGCGCGCTCACCCAAGAGATTCTACAAGTGGAGCTGCCACACCTCTTCGACGGCGAATGGGACTGGCAGATCTCCGTAATGGAGGGAGGGGCGTTCTCGGTGGTCTTCCCAGATCCTGTGATGCTCCGGATGGCAACCAGGAGCGGCAAGCTGTTCCTCTCCCTCAACAACCTCATGGTGGACATCCGCGACGCGGTCCTCGAAGCCCCCAAAGGAATGGCGATGCCAGAGGTGTGGGTCAAGCTGGGAGGAATCCCTCCCAAGCACCGACGTTCCGACCTGCTCTTGGCGGCCACCGTCATGCTTGGCCGTCCCCTGCTGGTGGATGAGGAGTCCCTCACTCGTCCGGGGCCAGTCCGTATGCGTTTCGCATGCCGCACCCCCCGCAAGCTGCGTGGTCTGGTCCAGATCTGGTTCAATGGCGAGGGCTTCAACATCACCATCGAGCCCGAACTTCCCCCGGAGCAACTCACAGCACCTGCCCTGCCTTCTCCACACCCGCCTTCTCCAACTGACCAAGACAGGGGTGGGGAGGGGCCCGACGACAATCTGGGCGGCGACAAGGAGGCGGATGCAAGCATGGAGGATGATTCCATCGATACGACGTCTTGGGAGAAGCTGGGCATCTCTGACAAGGGCGGGGCGACAACCAGGGCGCCGATGCCTCCGATGGAGCCGCCGCTGACAGGGGGGTCCATGGAGCTGGATCTCCCCATCCCCAACCAGTATGGCTCCAACCTGGGCTCGGTCATGTCCCCCCCGGTGCGGGCGGTGGCGGAGCCTGGTGCGGGCCAGATGGTGGAACCGCTGGGGGAGGCGCGCACTCCTATTGCGGTGTCCATGGAGTCGCAGCCGCTTGCCTCACGCTCTCCATCCCAAGGGGGGCGCAGCTCCAACAAGCTCGGGGCGGTGAAGCAGCTCAAGAAGGTGGCCGTGCGCAAGGTTAGCGCGGAGGCCGTTCGTGTGGCGGAGCTCCAGGGTGCGCCGGTGACCCCCCGGCAGGCGGTGATGGCGCTGGCTGTGCCCACCTCCGCTCCGACCACGCTGGAGGCGGACAAGACGGTGCATGTCCCGAAGGCCAAGCGTACCAAGACCGTCGTGGACGGGCAGGTAGCTCATGTGCGGGTCAGCGCGCGGGCTAAGGGCGCTAAAGGAAACATGCCTTCGCTCCAACGCGCCCAACTCCTCCAAGCACAGAAGAACCTGGAAACCTCAGGTAATCCATTGCCCCGTTTCTCGATTTTGGATTGTTTCTCCGACGAGCACCTAGGCGAGGTGTTGGTGGAGAGTGGAGTTGAACCAATCGGGGAGGGCGGGGTTAGCGAGCTAATCTCGCTGGTGCGCGCTAAGGAACTGGCTCAGGCGGCACTCGCAGCGGCGGCTGCTCAACACGCGGAGCATATGGCTCTCGAGGAGGATCCCTCGACGTCGCTAAGTCTCCGGCCCGAAGGGGAGACAGCAACAGGGGTTGCTGCTCCTCCCTCGCCTCGCTGCGGCAAGGCGAGGCGTGTGGCCAAGGCGATCACCTCTAGGGGGATCCGCCTGCGAAACCGCGTCATCTAGATGCGGATGCTCATTTGGAACATCCGTGGCTTCGGCCACTCGGGGCGGCGCACCCAACTCCGCGACTACATCAGGAAAGAAGGGATTGATATAGTAGGGCTCCAGGAAACCATTAAAACTGATTTTCGTCACCAAGACCTCGTAGCCATAGACCCTTTGGAGCGTTTCATTTGGCAACATAGCCCGGCTATTGGGCATTCGGGTGGCATGCTGCTTGGCTTTTGCAGTGCCATATATGAGGTGCTGTCCTGGGAGGTAGGCACCTCCTTCATTGCAGCCAATATTCGCGTGAGAGCTTCTCTACGCGAGCTCGTGATCCTGCAAATCTATGGACCAGCAGATCACTCACGTTCGGCAGAGTTTCTGGGAGAACTCGAAGCCAAGGTGCTGGCAGTTGCCGCATCCCAGGTCCCGCTCCTAGTGGGTGGTGATTTTAACCTCATCCGATCGAACGCGGACAAAAACAATGACAACATCAACTGGTCAAGGGTGACCATGTTCAACAGCGCAATTGTGTCAATGTCACTTAGGGAAGTGGCAAGAACGGGGGCAAGATACACTTGGACCAACAAACAACTAGCCCCGGTGAGATCCGTCTTGGATCGCGCCTTCATGTCTCCGGAATGGGAAGTGGTGTTCCCATTATGCTCGCTCCTTGCTGAAACAAGGATCGGCTCGGACCATGTTCCACTCATCCTATCTTCAGGGGAAGATAAGGTACGTCGCAGCCCGCGTTTCTTTTTCGAAACAGCGTGGTTCGAGGCTCCTGATTTCGACAACATCTTTCGGGAAAGATGGTTGAGAAGTGTTCAAGCCACGGGCCAGTAGCGCGGCCCTATGGAGTTTTGGACAGCGGTGGGGGGACGCTTGCGTGCAAGCCTCAAGGGATGGGGCGCGAATCAGGGACGAGACGAGAAAGTTTTGAGGGCGAAACTTCTCGATGAGATCGCAATCCTCGACACTCAAGCAGACTCGCGCCCATTCTCGGAGCATGAATGGGCGCATCGATACGCCTTGGAAGGGCAAGTCGAGGAGTTGCTCCGATCCGAGGAGGAATACTGGAGGCGCCGAGGAGGACTTAAGTGGATGCTCAAGGGAGATGCGAACACTGGCTACTTCCACGCGTACGCGAATGGACGTCGCAGGAAATGCCTAATCCTGAGGCTGCAGACGGAGCAGGGGCTCCTTCTCCAGCAACCAGCGATTAGCAAACACATCTACGACTTTTACATAAGCCTGATGGGGACCGACGAGCCTCAGCGCGCCAGGCTGAGAGAGGACGCCTGGCTGCCAGCTCAAAAGGTCTTGGAGTCGTAGAACGAAGAGCTGGGGCTCGCGTTTCTCCCCAAGGAGATTGACGAGGCTCTCCAAAGCATGAAAACTGACACGGCACCGGGGCCTGATGGGTGGCCGGTGGCGATGTTTAAACACTTTTGGCCACTGTTGCGCGAACCCATCTTCGCGTTGTGCAATGGCTTCATGCGCGGTTTTGTGGACATTGCTAGGTTAAACTTCGGAGTGCTCTCCCTAATTCCGAAAGTACCGGGTGCGGATAATATCCGCCAGTACAGACCAATAGCGCTCATTAATGTGCCCTTCAAAATTTGCGCCAAGGTTTGTGCCACGCGGCTTACTCCGATCGCACACCGCACAATTAGCCGTTCCCAATCTGCCTTTATCCGCGGTAGGAACATTTTGGAGGGACCATTAGCGTTGCAAGAGACCCTCCACGAACTTAGGCGCACGCGCGAACCGGTGATTTTACTTAAATTAGACTTCGAAAAAGCTTACGACCGCGTCAACTGG